TCCTCCACTTCATAACCACCCACTGCACCCACTTCTAACTCATCAGCTTACACTCGTTTCATTTTTCAGCACTTCAGTTACATCAACTTTATTTTCTTCTTCCTATACTCACTGACACTGTCATCCACATGTCCTCAGCTCAGAGGCGTGACCAGAGAACAGAAGAGGATAACGTGATTGTTTGATTTATGTGTGGGTGTCAAAGAGAAACTGTTGAGGATGGATTCCTTAATATACATCAGAGTTAAAGAGAATATAGTTTGTGATTGCTTGCAACGTTATAATATTGCAGTTACAGTTTTTGCCCGTTGCTTGAACACATTTTGCAAAACTTCGCTCATTGTGCCAAAACTCCAAACACAAGTAAACACGACACAACACTGGGAAATATACCATTCACATCTGTGCCAAATTGAAACTCTACTCTCAAAACCTAAACTCTGCTGTCAAAACCTGACATTCCTTTGTCAAAATGTAACTCTGTTGACAAAGTGACACATACTTGCATCATATGCAAACACTTACAGATCAGGAGGAACACACTAGTCTACTTTATATAAACACTGCAGTCTTTGATGTTCATTGTTTATTCAGAAGGCACATTTTCAGGAGACACATTTTCAAACAACCAAAAAAGCCAATAGGACTCAATATTGTACATTGCAGTACCATGAATTCAGATAAAGCAAAAAAAAAAAAAAAAAACACAATACAGTAATAGAAAAAACACCATACTGTAAACACAAAAAATCATGACAATTGTGCATAAGTGGGCTCATGGATCCCGCCGTCTTTTGGGGTCTGGCCACAGGACCTCATCGACATCGCAAGCAATGTCTTCTCCCGCTGGGCACCGGGGAAAATATCCTCTTCCATGTCGAAACCATCCATGGATTGCCGTCACCTGAATGTCGCCGCAGGCCTGTTCCATTGCCTGCAGAAGAGGCATGCGGGCATGTGGTTGGCGGTCATATACACGCCATCTCCAAGCCAAAAAAAATTCCTCTATAGGGTTTAAAAATGGTGAGTAAGGGGGCAAGTATACCACTTCAAGTTGGTTGGGGTTGGAGAACCAGGCTTGGACCAGAGCAGCCCGATGGAAACTGACATTATCCCATATCACCACAAACCTGGGCTGATCTGGTCTGTTCTGTACAACTATATCATGGAGAGCATCTAGAAATGTGAGTATGTGTTGGCTATTGTATGGACCTAGTTTTGCATGATGATGCAGAAGCCCTCGAAGGCATATGGCAGCACACAATGTGATATTTCCCCCGCACTGCCCCAACTGCCCTTTGGCCAATTACATTACGACCCCGTCATCTTGTTTTGCACAGGTCAAATCCAGCTTCATCAATGAAAATGTATTCATGAGGCTGTGCAGCTCCATCCATGGCTGAGATTCTCTGTAAAAAAAAGAGAACATATCACTGTACTACAGTGCTACACATACAGCACCCTCACCCCATCACACTGTGTAGCTCTCAGAATGGATCCATGTGGTACTGATATGGTACATATTCAGCTGCTACTGGATTTCACCAATACTCTATTGTAAATGTAAAGGACAGTTACACGTACCCGTACATATTCAGCTCGAAGTCCTTTGATCCTGTCACTGTTCCTCTCAAATGGGACTCTGTAGAGCTGCTTCATGGTGATGCTGTGTTTTCCCAAGATGCGTCTGATGGTGGTGATGCTCACATGGTTTATGTTGCTGAACACTCGCCTGTCTGCAAGTATTTTCCGTCGTAGCTGGTGGAGACGGATAGCATTGTCTGCCCTCACTATGTCCTCAACAGCAAGTTCCTGCCGTTGTGTGAACAGGCGTTGCCGTCCTCCCCCAGAAGGTCTTCGAGTCATTCTAGAAAAATACAACCACATATTGTCATCGCTTTGCTTATTTTTCTTAAATAAACAGGTGAGGGTCTAGGCTCAAACACTCCAGGACTCAGGAAATTGGGCTGTACCTTGAGAACTCTTCTGATGGTTATTGTACCTGAAACAATAGCGTGTGAAACGATTCAGACAACAGTGAGCCTGGCTACAAGGTCTCCATCAGAAACATAGTCGCAAATGTAGCATGGGCCATTTGAGATTCTCTGTTGACTAAGATTATGTCCATCGCTACCAAAGAAGACCGGAAGAGGGATGCTGCCAAATTCTTAAACACTGGAATTTACCAAACTGTGTGTGGTCTATTGACGAAAGATGGCCCTTAATTAGGTCCTGCAAATTGCAGTATAACAATATATATTTTTAGTATTACAGAGCTACGTGCTGATCTCGTATTGTAACTTTTGTTCTCATCCTACACAGCCTGAGAAGACCATAATGTCACGATTTGCAAAGGCGACTCGTGCGGAGAGAGTGAGGAGTGGACCCAAATGGAGGCAAACAGAAAGAAGTGGTGGCTCGCTTGAAGCTGACGCTCCGGTGCGTGTCACAAATAACAACACACTGCTTCAGAAGCACTGTCCAATCCAATTTTATTCATAAAGCACTTTAAAATAGCCAGGACAGGACCAAAGCGCTGTACAGAAAATAAGTTAAAAGCAACAGAATAACAGAAAACAGCAAAACTAAATAAAACACATAATACATAAAAAATTAAAACAGCCCTATATTACAGTTTTTGCCCACTGCTTGAACACATTTTGCAAAACTTTGCTCATTGTGCCAAAACCCTAAACACAAGTACACATGACACAACACTGGGAAATATACCATTCACATCTGCACCAAATTGAAACTCTACTCTCAAAACCTAAACTCTGCTATCAAAACCTAACATTCCTTTGTCAAAATGTAACTCTGTTGACAAAATGACACATACTTGCATCATATGCAAACACTTACAGAGCAGGAGGAACACACTAGTCTACTTTATATAAAACACTGCAGTCTTTGATTTCCATTGTTCATTCAGAAGGCATATTTTCAGGAGACACATTTGCAAACAACCAAAAAAGCAAATAGACCTACTCAATATTGTACATTGCAGTACCATGAATTCAGATAAAGCAAAAAAAACAAAAACAAAAAAAAAACCATAATACAGTAATAGAAAAAACACTATACTGTAAACAAAAAATCATGACAATTGTGCATACGTGGGCTCATGGATCCCGCCGTCTGTTGGGGTCTGGCCACAGGACCTCATCAACATCGCAAGCAATGTCTTCTCCCGCTAGGCACGGGAAAATATCCTCTTCCATGTCAAAACCATCCATGGATTGCTGTCACCTGAATGTCGCCGCATTGCTCAGGTCGAATCCAGCTTCATCAATGAAAATGTATTCATGAGGCTGTGCAGCTCCATCCATGGCCAAGATTCTCTGAAAAAAAGGGGAACATATCACTGTACTACAGTGCTACACATACAGCACCCTCACCCCATCACACAGGTACCTGTGTAGCTCTCAGAATAGATCCATGTGGTACTGATATGGTACATATTCAGCTGCTACTGGATTTCACCAATACTGTATTGTAAATGTAAAGGACAGTTACACGTACCCGTACATATTCAGCTCGAAGTCCTTTGATCCTGTCACTGTTCCTCTCGAATGGGACTCTGTAGAGCTGCTTCATGGTGATGCTGTGTTTACCCAAGATGCGTCTGATGGTGGTGATGCTCACATGGTCTATGTTGCTGAACACTCGCCTGTCTGCAAGTATTTTCCGTCGTAGCTGGTGGAGACGGATGGCATTGTCTGCCCTCACTAGGTCCACAACAGCAAGTTCCTGCCGTTGTGTGAACAGGCGTTGGCGTCCTCCCACAGAAGGTCTTCGAGTCATTCTAGAGAAATACAACCACATATTGTCATCGGTTTGCTTATTTTTCTTACAGTACTTCACTGTATATACTGTATCATCCACTGTACAACACTGTACTTCAATATAAGTAATCATGGTATGTTTCACAGAAACTACCACTTTGGCTGCAAAAGGAGCATTAGCACCCCGTACACTTGATATGGTAATGTGATATACTGTAGAATAGTGCTATAAAACCATCTGAGTAGAGCAGAAGGTATGGAGGTGAAGACAGACCTGCTTTCTAGTCGGAATGTTCGTATTACAGATGCCACTGTGAAGCGGCTTAGATGTGGGTGGACTCTCTGCCCAGCTTCCCTCATAGTCAGGCCGTGGTTGATGACATGGTCCACCAAAGTTGCTCTTATATCATCAGAAATATGGGTCCGTGCATGGCCTCTTTGACCTCCTCCTCCTCTTCCTCTTGCTCTCCCTCCATCCATGCTTGCAAAGTTCTTGAAATGGCTAAACTGAGGGCTTTTTGTGGTTGGCTAATTGGTGTTCAGTTTTGCAAGTAAGTGCCTTCAGGTGTATATTTGAGTGGTTGCAATTACCCGATGTGTTTTGTATTTTGGATACATGTGTTTTCCAAATGGCACCCTGAAATTTAATTTTTGAACGAAGTGTGTTATGTATGAAATAGAGTGTAGTATGCAGGACCATGTGTGTTGCATAAAGGAGTAAGTGTGTTGCATAATTGCAACCAGAGTGCAAAGCAGCACTTTTGTTTAAGGTATGGGTACATGTGTTTGAGGTATGGTAACAAAAGCTTCAAGTTGTGTTACTTTAGTCTAAGCATGAGTTTATAGTGTTCAAGCAACGAGCAAAAACTGTAAAACGAGATAAAACTGCATAGAATCAACTAAAAACAACCAAAATCAAACTAAAAACCAACATCTCTCGTGGTGTCAAAGGCCAGGGTAAAGAGGTGGGTTTTCAGGAGGACTCACCCAGCTGATGGTCTGTGCACGCCAGCGTCTTCTGCTCCATGTGAGAGGATTTCCTCTAAGGCAGGAGAAATTATCTCCACGAAAAGAAACAGACTCGACCGTCGCACAGTGGAACAAATTCTCTTCTTAAATAAAAACCAAACAGGTTGACTTTAAATGCATCACTTTTACTTTACAAGTTCATGATCAGTTCTACCCCCGGGTCAAAAATGCGTATAAGAAAACTGGCCTAATTTAATGTGATTTATAAACATAACTGTCCAGCGATTGATTGCATAAGTACACGGAGTCAGGACGTCACAGCATACCGCATAATGTTTTGTACATTATTATATGTATTTTTAATCTATTGCATTTACAAACGCCGAGGAGTCACGAGCAAAGAAAGACCACACCATGGCACATGTTTAAACAAGGAATGTTTATTGATCAAAATTATTTATTAAACAAATAAACATGGCAAGTTTTTCACCCCCCAAAGAATACATGCTCAAAGCAGCACAACGGCGGCCCAATATCAGACAGAACTGTGAACTCCACTCTGTAGAGTGGCCAATCATAATGAAGCAGTTCATTTTATTTTGTAGATTCAAGCTGCTCGTCATATGTTTGGCCACCAGATGTCACCAGAGAGGACTGTGTTGAAAAGCTTTGAGTAATGAACCGTTTTCAACACGAGCTTCAACGCTTCAGAAAGCGTTGTTTGGCCATCACTAACAGAAAGTCAGCCTTTATTGACGGCAGAACAAAACAACCAACAGGTGGAACACAGAAAATGAGCCAAAACCTGAAACACCTGGAAACGCGAGGGGACGGAGAGCAGCGGTTACACGAGGGACGACACACAGACAGACCGACAAAGAGCCAAGGACAACGCAAGCAATAAATACACACCAGGTAAGGAGTGGAAATGCACAACAGGAGGGAGACACAGCTGGGATAAATGTGACAGGACGCAGGAAGTAAAGCAGACTATACTGACAAAGGACCAGGACTATCAAGGTAAACCAGGAAACACAGAGCTGAACTCAAGACACGTAAGCTAAAGACAATGACCCTTCCCAAGAACACAGAGGCACAGAAACAGAACAGCAACCATAAACGTAACATAAACAGGAAACCATACCTCACTGAATAAAACTTGAACCAAAAAGACAAAACACTGAGTCGCAGACACACAACAGGGATTTCCTCTTGTTGACAGCACCCCAGCAGACAGCACAGCTCTTTTAGCAAAAACACTTGTTTATTGACAAATCTCCATAAAGTTTAAATAAGTCGGTCTCACAGGTGGTGTGTGTTTTTTTTCCAAAAACAATAAATCATCATCAACACTGTTATTGGACAATTCACAATGAAACCCACATATTTGGCAATCAAAAATACAAAGAAAAATCTGGAATTTACCTTCACAATCACACACAAACACCAGTGTCACTCCCTGTGACACACCAAAGACATTTTTAAAGCACTCATCATGTCGAGGAAGAGCTGAATGCATCGTACACAAGACAGCTTTGGTTTTACAGTCCTTACTGCTGATTTCTCTGGGGCTCTGTGGTGCAAGGCGCTTTTCCTTGACATCATTCAAACGTCGCTTCTCTGTAACGTGGATTCTAGCTCTCTACATCTGCAGTCCCAGATTTGTAAAAGCGTTTATGGATGGGCCTAGTGTAATCCCACAGCCTCACGGTCACTTCGCTTTCCATTTGAATTCATTTTCACTTGACTTGGAAAGTTGACTGAATTGGACAGAAGATGAAATTCCACGGCAAATAAACTTTCTTGCTTTAATGCTTGTGCATTCACAGGAAAACTGCCCACACTCTGACCAAGGAGATCAACGAGGAAGAGAGGAAACAGTGAAAATACAAACCTCCTTTGTTTCTTCATAACCATGAAAAACATCATGATGTCAAGAGAAACGCAGTGCTCTGAGAACCTGACTTACAGCAGGTTTCTTAATGATGTGACAACAGGTCTTATTGATGAATGTCAGCCATGTTGAAGTTACAATGTCCAGAATATGGAATGAAAAAGAATCGTGGATTCTTGACACCGTGCTGTTTCAGGCACCTCCACGTGCAAAAACATAATTTCTTTATTTAGCCTCCTAACAGCCTCCAGGCTGGTGAAACACTTAAACAACTGATCTGATTGTGCACTGGTGCAACATGTAGATCATTGTGTACCTGACAATACACAAACGTGAGGACGTAACCAATGTAACCAAATCCACAATGGCCTTTTATAGACTTTTGAAAACTGATTTCATTGAGTGTATCCAAAAATAGTGGTTGCTTAAAGATGAAGGGAAGTGAGAAAGTTTGTGTTTCTCTTGGCATCTCATACAGCCACACACACATAGGAGAACATCTTACTTATATTCAAAGAAAAATAAAAGCTTTTATCTGATTGGTCAGAATCTGTCTCTACACCGATCTGTTTGTTATGGTGTAACTCTACTCGAGTATCTCGAGAAATATTTAGTGATGCTGTGACTCATTTCCAGTCACAGCCTCTGACACATAGGTGGGTACAGTCATGGTTGGATGAAATGAGTGTCATTGTGCAGCAGCATTTCTGCGAATAGATATCGATCTCTGCCTTTTGAAAAGCTAAATATTAAACTCGAGTGGCCTCTTAGCTGAGTGGTGTTCAAAATGTATGCAAAATAACAGTTACTGAGATGAAAGCACATGAAGGAGTCAGTGAAAGGGCCACAGCATAGATGCTGCAGAGCAGCTGGTGGGGTGAGATGACTGCAGCTCCTCCTGGTACCACATGGATCCACCACGGCAGAAGATAACGTCAGGAACATTAGCAGAACTCAGATCTCGCTCTCGTAGGTGTGCATGTAGGTCTTGAGCGAGAGGATTTCAGCGTAGCTGCGGCTGGTCCTGCGGTACAGGTCCAGGCCTGTCAGGAGCTCCACGTCTCTGACCCGAGCTGTGTGCATCTTCATCAGGCTCTCCACCCAACGAGACTCCTCCTCTGAGCTCTGTGGAGGCAGTAAGGACGAGCAGCGTTAGCAGCAGTCACCTCTTATTAATGGACATCAGATCGAAAATGTTTCTTTGGTTCATGTTTTGAAAGGCTGTCTTCAGTTGATCTTAAGACTTTGCACATACAAAGTTTCTTATTCACAAGAACGTGAGCGTAGTTTGGGGTCCCGGGAGAACAGTTAAAGCTCAGTAACTGTTATTATCTCCTTTCAAAGACATGTGATTAGCGCAGCTTTTCATTCAGTTTTTGGACAATGTCTTTGATTTATTGTCCCTCCAGCTAATGCTCTAAACCTCACAGATGTGGAGTTAATCAGCTGTGACGTTGGTGGGCCGTCAAACGAACCACCAATCCTTCACAGTCACATGCTTGTGGTCACTGCATCGAGATCGCTGCACAGCTCAGCAGTATCGGTGTGCACTTTTGTGTCGTTTTGAACCTTTTACCTTCATTTTGGAATATTAAAAAATGACACAATGCCATCTTGCCTATCCCAGCTACCACAGGGCAGGAGGTGCTCCAGTTTTGAAAGGTAAAATTATAGTATTTTACTAGTTTGAACTCTCGGCGAAGGCAGCCGCACTTTTTCTCCTCTCCTCTCCCTTATCTTCCTTGCTTGGCTTCTTATGTCCTTGTCTTGTGTTTTTACTTTTCCCTGGAACACTCTCTCACAGTCTGTTTCTAAACCTAAAAGAGGAATTATGGATTTGATCAACTGGTCTCTGAATGCAATTGACACCCTTTTCTCAACGAGAAGTCTGGGCTCGGGTGAGCCTGAGTGCTGAAGATATCGACCTATTCGGAACCATGGTAACAGGGTTTTTGCTGATCGGAGCTGGCTTGGCCCTGACTTATCGGAGAATGAAGAAAGCGGAACCGGCTGTTCAAACCCCCACAAGGCTGCCCGCTGGCATTGAAACAATGGGACGAGGCGTGAGTTTCTCAAAATGGGCTCATTGAGTGCAGCACGGATAAGATCTTGGAGAGGCTACGGCTGCTGTGAATACTCAGAATAAGATCTCTGAGCGCAAATTGATCACATCATGGAGAAGCTCGCGGCTCTCCAACGGGAGTTTGAGAGACCAGTGTCGGACTGTAGAACTGCTTTGAAATTGATATGAGTTGTTCGCACTAAAGGAAAAACCACCATCACTTCATGGGGAGACCCCTGTGGCACCAGCTGCGGTCTCAAGGCTGGAGCTGAACAACAACACCCTGATAACGACTGTGTTTAGACTGTTAGGGAATTATGTTAGGATGCTGTTCGTGGACTACAGTTCAGCATTCAACACAATAATTCCCTCTAAGCTTTTCACCAAGTTGACGGATCTTGGACTCAGCTCATCACTGTGTCAGTGGATCCTCAACTTCCTCACAGACAGACCCCAATCAGTGAGGGTGGGAAAACAAGTCTCCCCTCCATCTCACTCAGCACTGGAGTGCCTCAGGGCTGTGTTTGAAGCCCCCTGCTGTACTCACTGTACACTTATGACTGTGTAGCCACATCAGACACCACCTCCATTGTCAAGTTTGCTGACGACACTGCTGTTGTGGGCCTGATCTCCGACAACATCGAGACGGCCTACCTGGAGGAGATTAGGAACCTGGAGACCTGGTGCCAGGAGAATAACCTCCTCCTAAACATCAGCAAGACTAAGGAGCTGATCGTGGACTTCACTACAAAGCAGGCGAGGAATTACAAACCCCTCATCATCAGTGGCACGCCAGTGGAGAGAGTGGACAGTTTCCGATACCTGGGTGTCCACATCACTCAGGACCTGTCATGGTCCTGCCACATCAACTCCCTGGTTAAGAAAGCCCGTCAGCGTCTCTTCTTCCTCAGAAGACTTAGAGACTTCCATCTGCCACTGAAGGTGCTCAAGAACTTCTACTCCTGCACCATCGAGAGCGTCCTGACGGCAAACATCTGCACCTGGTTTGGGAACAGCACCAAGCAGGACAGACAAGATCTGCAAAGGGTGGTGCGCTCGGCAGAACGCATCATTCAATCAGAGCTCCCTGACCTGCTGTCCATCTACACCAAGCGGTGCAAGTCAAAGCTAGGAAGATTATGATGGACCTCTCCCATCCCAACAATGGACTCTTCTCACTGTTGAGGTCTGGGAAGCGCTTCCGCTCCCTTAAGGCCAAAACAGAGAGAATGAAGAGGAGCTTCTTCCCCCAGGCTATTCGGGGCCTGAACCAGGTGTAGGACTGGACTCTAACACGTCACTACACGACACACGTCACCACACGCACCACCACACATTTCCTATAATCCTATAATTCCTATAATTATAATCTTTATAATCTCTTCTGCTATTTGCACATTCTTTACTGTAAATTCCTAAGTTAATTTGTAAATTCTGTAGTAAACTGTAAATTGCAAATATTGTAAAACTTTTCCTCTGTCATTTAATGGTCGGGCATTGTACAGCTACAAGCATTTCACCCCATGTCATACTGTGTATGGTTGTGTGTGACAAATAAAATTTGAATTTGATTTGAATTTGTTCTTCCCATTCTATGCATCCCCCTCCCTTCCCAAACGCCTTAGATGCTTGTTGCCTCCTGGGGGGAGGGTCCCATTTCACTACAGGGCAACCTGCACGTGGCGAATAAAGCTTTGATTGATTGATTGATTGAATACTTCTTCCTAAACTTGCTGGCTGATACTCCACCCTCTAGCCCTCCAAATATGGAGATGTGTTAAGGACCCTCTACAGCTCTGTTCAGCTCTCCTAGAATAACTTTCTGTCTCCTGGAATATCCTCCATGCTCTTGACACTGTCCTTGGAGACACAGCAAAGCTTATTGGTAATAGCACTTATTGCTGTGCTGTGCAATACTGGAGGACTAACTGTACAGCCTCTTTGCGGTCTGATGGACGGATTTCCTGAAAGACTGTCTGTAAAAAATAAGAATATAAGTGCAGGAAGTGTGTTTGCAAGAACACCCACGCATTAGAGCGTTCCAATTCCCCTGTTGGACTGAAGCTGAGTATGTATTTATCAGTGCTGTTTCTTTATGCAAAAGCAGCTTTAGGAGCAACCTGGTGTGGCTGCAGCTCAGCTGTGTGGTTTATTTAATTTATTTGTTTGGTGCGGGAAACATTTTTCATGTTATGTTAGCAAGATTGCTCTGCTGTGGATGAGGAAAAGGAAAAGAGCAGAAGGAAAACGTAAACGTGACCATCCGTATGTTGCAGCTCTCATCATTGGTGGGTCTGTGCGGCAGGATGAAGGTGGCGCTGTTGAGCGGTCCGTTACACGAGTCTGTAGCTTGTGTGAAGTCTAAGCAGCTGGTCAGGACCACAAAGTAGTGAGTGGGATTGGGATTGTACCACTTATATACCTGCAGAGAAGATCAAGGTCAGGAAGCTATTCCACACACTTTCCGAACATTAGCACTGTCCACAGTTAAAAATATACATGGAGTAAGGAGGTTTAACAGAAACGTGGAAATATTAAGTGTGCCTACTCTCGTATCTTCTCAGCTGAGTCTCTGACACCGTCATAGTTGTAGTCAAATATGGGTCCAGTCAGTACATTCACTCCATTTCTCTCAGTGGCGTATTTCTTCACCAGCACTCTCTGGAAATAACCCCATATCTCTGAGAGAGGGAGAGAGATGATGGTGGTGGACTAAAAGCATAAAACAGAGTTCACTAAAGCTGAGGTAAAGACTTACTCTTGAATGCAGGATACATGGGAACAGTGTTGGTGATGAGGACAGCATCGGATTTTTTGTCTAGATTTGACGACAGTTCTGTCAGCAAGGACAAAAACAGGATTAATGTGGTAAATAAAGTCATGGAATACGATCAAGTGTGGGAAAAAAGAATAATAATATGATTGTAGTATTATTGTAGGAATACGAATCCAGTAAAACCTTCACCAGACATGCTGTGTTAACTCTGCTGCGGGGGCTCACTTACGTGGTGGGTACAGAAAGGCGTACGTGATGTGTTTATCTGCTCTGTAGTTGGTACATGATTGGCTGTAAGCTGGAGGACTCTGGAATCAGGTCTCACACAGTTGGACAGAGCTTCAGGCAGAGGAGACACTTCTACCTGGAAGACCAGCAGAATACAAAGTTCTGTTAAACATATCGTGGATTTGTTTCAAAGACCAGAGAAAGAAAAATGGCACAGAAAAGATACAGTCAGCAGGCATTCAGGTGAGACAGGTGACACTGTCCAGCACCTGCACGTTTCCTGCTGTGCAGGAGGTTCATAGCATCCTTCGCTGTTTAAAGATACTTAATATAACTGCAGTGATGGAGCTCGGGGCTGAATGTGAGGACAACCGGTGTGTAACAAAGGATTGACTGTATCCTGCAAAACGTGGCTGTGTGAGACCCGGCTGTCTGTCAAAGAGTTGTCAAGTGAACAACAGTTGTAGTTAGATGAGTGAAAATGGAAATTAATGGAAATAAAACAAAATCTTTTCATGGATTTTTAAGCTGTCTTCGAACTAAGAAGCTAACTTTAAACAAACTCAGGGCGAGTAAGAAGCCTTGAAACTGACAAATAAGAACGACAGCCGTTATTATTTCAGCCTTTTATCACATTATTACAACAACGTTGGCTCACAGTGAAACCAGAAGCAGCAAAAGATGCAAATTTTCCAAATGTCTTTGATCCAGGTGCACAACCAGACTCATGAGAAATATTGGTGAAAGTCACCAAGAATGAATGTCATCCAGTTTTTGACAAAATGCTGTTAGTACAAGCTGTTTTGTTCTGAAGACAGCCTTTCAGGCATAAAGATTGCTGTTTGGTGTCTGGATCGTAGCTGGAGACCAGTAACCACTAAATCATCAGCATGGTAATCGGAGATTAAGATCTCACACAGGAGTTGGTGTTTTCTCTGTCTGAATGTTAAATGCACTGCCTCTACTCTGCTCTATACAACTTGCATCCATTCACACAAGCAGTGCTTTCCATCTAACGTTCACAGTCCGACGGATGCATCAGAGAGCTTCCTGGGTTAGTGTGTTGGCATGAAGACTGGAGCAGCAAAGGATTGAACCACCAGCATCCTGATCAGTAGATGAGCAGCTCTACCTCCTAAGCTACAGCCCCCCTAAACTAAAGCCTGTTGTGAAATCAGTGACATGACGGCACTCAGAAGAGGTTTCCCCAATAGTAGCAATGGTGCTGGAAGCAGGAGATGAACTTATAGAAAAAATTCTGAAACATCAAATATCTGCTAAACAGTTAACTACACCTAAGCACTTGTACTTCCAACAACTGAAAGACAGAGAGGACGGAGAGGCAGTACCTGTCTGCTGGCAGTGTACGATGTCCAGACGGGCATGGACAGAGTTTCACTGTAGCCACTGATGTAGTCGCTGTGGTGCAGGATGCAGTATTTGGTACGGAAGAGGACAGCAGGCCGACCGAACGGCAGGTTCCTGCTGTCTATGAGAGGAAGAGCGCAGACAAGCAGGAATGTAGCAAAAGACATTTACAGATCGATGCATTAAAACGACGACTGAGCGTTCATGACAGAATGATGAAGAAATTTCAAATAAAACAAGACGAGCTACAAATCCAAACTTTCACTGCAACTACGCTTAGTTTTATCTGCTGGGACTGAAAGGAAAAGTCACTTATTAATGACATTTTCAGTAGGAGCGTTAAAGACTGACCATCCATAGCTTGCCTCAGTCGCTGGTTTAGCTCCTCCACTTTGTTCTGTAAGAGACAGAGCCAGAGTGACTCCAGGTTATAGCCTCGTACAAGGGTCACTTTCAAACTTCTCTGGCCCCTACTTTTTACACGCAACTGCAAAAAGATCGGAGATTGAAACAATCTCTTGCCAGAGATCTACATGGGAATCACAAAGACAGCATAAAGTGAGACAGTGCAGGGCAGAGCTGGGTCTAATTCACCTCAATACAGCAACTACACACACAATATCTGCACTAAGAAGGCTGTTAAACTCTAAAATTGTCAATAAACTATTGATTTTGACGAGGTGAACCGACCCCAGCTCTGCAGCAGAAAGCAAAGAAGCATCAAGGTTATTTAGGCTTAAAAGAAAACAGCAATTGCACATTAAGAAACTTTTTTTTTACAAGTAAAAAAGGCACAAACAATCAAATCCTCCTGAATGACAGACCCATGCAGATGAATCTTTTTACACTGTGTAAAATGAAGTTAAACTGCAAAAAAGCAAAACTTCTGCAACAAAAAGCCCTTCAGTCATCTGCTATGGTATAGATCAGCTGATAGCACATCTGACCAATCACACACACTGCTCTGCACAACAAGACGAGCAGCTGACCCCAGTTATGGTTAATAAATCCTGCTGGTACAGGCAAGGAACATGGATCTGGGTCTTACTTTTCATACCAGGTTTATGCTACAGCTGATTTCTTACTCTCCGTTTGCACGATGACTGAGGAGTTTTAATCTGAGGACGACGTCAACACTAAGTGCCCCAGCCCACACCACTGATCGTATAATGTCCAAATGTGTGATTTTGTTGCAATTGGGATCAAAAACAAACCAACACAAAAATTAATTTCTTATTTTATTGTCAAAAAACAAGCTTGGGTCAGGGTAGAGTAGCCAGGGAACTTTAAGGGTGTTACAAATAAGGTCCGAGGGCCAGAAACCAACGATTCAATTCAATTTTATTTATATAGCGCCAAATCACAACATAAGTCGCCTCAAGGCGCTTCATAGATACAGAGAAAAACCCACCAATCATATGACCCCTATGAGCAAGCACTTTGGCGACAGTGGGAAGGAAAAACTCCCTTTTAACAGGAAGAAACCTCCAGCAGAACCAGGCTCAGGGAGGGGCGGGGCCATCTGCTGCGACAGATAAACAATAAAATGTTTTCACTATCTACAAAAGTAATTACCATACAATTTCTTTTTTGTTTTTATTGGGGGGGGGGGGGGGTGTTACCAAATCTCAGGGATTAACTGGAGATAAAGTATCTGAATTTCAGGAGCTGGACCACGCCTCCAAACACGCCTCCTTCTGGTCCTCATCTACACATGTTCCCCAGCTCCACAAGCTGTTCGCTCTCGTTTATGTGCCCCACCCTCCCTCCCCTTTTTAATTCTTTAACTTCTTCATTTCTGTTGTAGTCCATGAGGATCTGCCAGGCCCGGGAGCTGCCACCAGTCCCCTTCGAGGTCTTCCCCAAACCACAGCTCATGTCCAAGCCATTCAGCTTTATCTACTAAAACGGTGTCAAACCTCAAATAAGGACGTGGGGCCAGTGAGTGAAATATGTTGGTCAACTTCTGTGCACTAACAGAAAGTTTCACCGCACCAGTACAGATAAACTGGCTCTACGTCACCTTCAATGTTAAAGGGTTGTAGTTCTTGTCCTCGTAGTTCTAATATGTTTCGTATAAAGAGCATCTGTGCTGACACCTCCGATGGGCCAAAAAAGTGTTACTGACTTGAATACATACTTGATAAAAACTTTCTGCATTCCTTAAAGAACTCATAAAACAATCAGACACAAAGACACGCTGATGTCTCAGCTGAGCGCTTCAGCCTACAGTTACCATGTTCTTGCAGCCTCTCTGCATCCCTGCACCTCCTTTCACGCTTTATTCAATTTCATGAGCTTCGTATCTCTGGGCACCGATGCCTGCTTTCTTCTGTGAGCAGCTCTTGTTGCTGCTCTTCCTTCCTCTAGATTTCATGTTTGTACATGGAGGGAGAGGTGCCAGAACAAAGCCGTATTACTAAATATGCCTGAACTCTGGTGTCCTGATATTTCCTGGTTGACCTTGGCAGTCAAAAGCTACTCCTTGCCTCCTGCGGCTCGTGGCCTCAGTGGGTCCGGTTTGTTCCGGCCCAGGTCGACCTCTTAGGGTCTTTGTTATGTTGCTGTGGATATATTGCAGTGTGGACAGTGTCTGTGTGAACACAGAATTTATATTTGTCATCCCACTCTAAATGCTGGCTGCATTTAGTTTCAAGTGATGATCCTGTTATTAGCACGGGAAATAAAGTCTAGTGTTTCAGGGTACCTGTCAGGAGGATGGTTCAGAACCCTAAAGAACTTGTTCTTCTCTGGATTCAGTCTGGTGTCTCGTGACATCGCAGGCTCACTTCCATGATGTCAGGGCCCTTTCAGGCTCTCTGTAATCTCTCACAGCACCTTGTTCTGGATGTTTGCTGTTCTTTTCTCTGTGTGTGTGTTTATACAGCACACGTTTAATGCTGATCTCTCTTCATGGTGTATCTTCTGTGCTGTCTCCCTCCTCTCACCCCCAACGGTCGCAGCAGATGGCCCCGCCCTCCCTGAGCCTGGTTCTGCTGGAGGTTTCTTCCTGTTAAAAGGGAGTTTTTCCTTCCTACTGTCGCCAAAGAGCTTGCTCATAGGGAGTCTTCTGGTTGTGTGGGGCTTCTCTGTATTATAGTAGGGTTTTTAGCCTAAAATATAAAGCACCTTGGGGACTGCTGCTGTCATATGGCACCTTATAAAAAAAATTTAATTAAGTAAATAAGCTGATCAGATGGATCCTTTTGTGGGATTTAAAAGTCAAGCGAATGTTTGGCATCTGGCCAGTCATACATGCAGGTTAGTCATACTTTGTAAGGGGCTAATTTGGCCTATGGAAACAATTTTAGAGTCAACTCTTTTAGGCCAAAAGTGAAGAAGAGGGAGTTTTAAAAAGAGGCGCTGAGGTCACTTCAAAAACTGCTGATCTCATGGGATTTTCCTGGACAACCATCTTTAGAGTTTGGCCCAAAAAAGGAGAAAATATCCAGTTAGTATGAGTTCTGTCAGTGAACATGGTGTGCTGATGACAGAGGAGAAAGCCCAGACTGTGGGGTGCTACTCCTGTGAGTCTCAGAAATTGAGACTGCAATTCATACAAGCACCAAATTGAGCAGCAGAAGATGGGAGGAATTTTGCCAAGTGTGACAATATGGATGTACAGCCAAGAATGTTGCTGCATGTGCTGAACATATGATTGAGTTGAGAAATTAAAAAAAAGACAAAAAAATAGACTAGAAGAGGTTTAGAAAAATAGAAGAACAGAATTCCCTTCAGGGACTGACAGGAAGTTGGGCTCAGGTCTGCCTCTGAGTCATCGTGGCTGACCTTTTCATCGCAGCTGCACCCCAAGCTGTCTGTTCCTGCAGGTACAACACCAGACGCTGTTGGTCTGGAGACCTCCTCTGCCATGGTGGGTCTGTACGGGGGGGTTCTTAGCAGGTGGTTCAGACTGCCGTGAGTTCCATTATTAGGGGCCGGTTTCAAACCTAGAAGATCTAAGAATGGGACAAATGTGACTGAAATCAGACTAAAGACGTCACACACACGTAAACATCAGCTAACGCATTCTTATTGTGGAAAAATATCAGATATCAAAAACACACCCAGACACCTGAACACAGAAATGCAGATGGAAAAAAAGGGACTCCCACACACATTACGTTATAAAGCTCGATGTTTTCAAAGGCTGGAACTTTAGTCTTGAACTTAAACGTGGGCCATAGCCAACGAAAATAGTCTGGAAGCAAAGTTCATCACACGGGTTAGTTTGTTACAACAATGCAAGAAAATGTTTGATATATCTGAAGTTTTTAACAAGAGTTTAAAAAAAGGCTATTCTACATTTGCATACATTTCATTACATAAATAAAGACAGTTGCCTTATATTGTGGGAAGAATCTCTGGGCTTTTTCCTCAGAAATCTCAAGAATATTTAATTGTTTTTTATAAATTAGTTCCCTGTCTTCTACTTATTATTATTCCTTCTTACATTTCATGTATTTAAGAAGACGATTAAAGTTCCTGTAATGTTTATGAAATGTGCACATACTGTCTTTTTGTTTGTTTGCTTCCAGCTTGGATTCAGACACCTTCTCAGTTGTTGGTAATTAGGTTAATTAGCAGTTAGTTGTAGTTAGGTTGGATCAGGTGCCCTCAATCCTCACTTATTTACACTGCATTAGGCCTGTGCTGTTGGGGGTTCCCATGATGCATTGAGCATTTCTTCTTCACTCACTTTGTGTTTACACACTGCGGCTCTCTTCCACAGGAAGTCTTTCTCCTGTCTTCCTCCCCTCATCCCTGACCAGTACGGCACGTGTCTGCACCCCCCCGGTTCTGCTGGAGGTTTTATCCTGTTAAAGGGGCGTTTTTTCTTCCCACTGTTGCCTAAGCAACAACTTGCTCATAGGGGTCATTTTCTCTGTATTATTGGAGGGTCTTTACCTTATAACAATATTTATAAATGTTGAAATTGAATGTTTAGACAGTCTGAGCTTTAACCTCCTGAGACCCGAACTCTTCCACGGCATACATTTTAATTTCTCTTGATATTTGGGCTGATTGGGACCTGATCAATGTAAAAACAAAGAATTACCAGATTTTTTTTTTACCTGATTTTTGTTTCTAATAAAAATGAGATCCACATATGAGGATATTCGTTTAAAATTTTGGTATAACAGTGGCAGTATAATGTCCTCGTAAGTGAGTATCAGGCCCTTGTAGAGCAAAATTTAGTATTTTGGTCTAAATAACCCAAAATGTGATGTCCACATATGTGGACGGCAGGTCCGAGGAGGTTAATACCGGTTTCAGTGTGTAACCGTGTGCACAGTGCGTGTACGCTGTTCCTAGCTGATGTTTTAGAAAGCTGAGCTGGTATTGTGAATACAAAGGGAATCTTGTAAACAGATACCTGCATGCTGTTGATCTTATTGTCATATCCATGATCTCCAGCAAAGCCACAGTGCCTCCTGCCTTCAGGGACCTTCCTGTAATGACAGAGGTATCTTCTCTCATTCGTAACCAAGAGGACAGTGACGAACTTTGTTTCTACCATCAGTGTTGCTAAGGTTGGCAACAAAGAAGCCAAACTGTGTGACAGATATATAAAATGCTTATTGTTTTTCTAATAATGTCACCTTCTGCTGACATTGATAAATGGACTGATTCTTCTATAGCGCTTCTCTACTCTCCCAGAGTACTCAAAGTGCTCTATACAACATGCCACATTCACTTTCTCTACACTTAGTGTTTTCTAACTACATGCAAACTCTGATGGATGCATCAGAAAGCAACTTGAGGTTAGTATCTTGCCCAAGGATACTTGGCATGCAGAGTGGAGAAGCCAGGGCCTTCTGATCAGTAGGTGACCTGCTCTTCCTCCTGAGCTACAGCAACCACAAAATAACTAAGACACATCTCTTTATTTCCCTCAACCCACTGCTGGAGCAAAATTTAATCATGCAAACATAACATCGTTTAACAGGAATCGAATGAAGTATAATCATTTGCTAAACTACATGTGGCTGGTGTAACTGTTGTATCGTAAGTGTCAAAATAGGTTGTCATATGATTTACTGGTTAACAAGCTCAGGCCTGAGAAAAGCAGCTAACATAAATATGCCAAAAACTAATAGTGCCCATATAATCCCTCTATCATCCCTCTACTCACAACGAACATTTGTGCATGTGTTTGGCTGTGTTGTTGTTTATAGCTAATTTCTCCCTTTAAACAAATGTTTGATTTTTCTTTATAACTCAATAACTTTAGTATGATATAAAATTAGAGGTGTGGACGCTTGTACAGACAGACTTGCTGAAACAGGCTGTCTTTCACACCACAGCTCTGAGTTCAGTTATTTCTTGTGGCTTTTTTATGTGCCGAATCCAAAGATGAGGATTAAAAATAGCCGACTGTTTTGCTGGCCGCGACTGTTTCCAGGTTATTCAGTTTCTTACAATTTACACCTACATACACTGTTTAGGTAGTTGATTTTAAATTCTAAGCTTCTTGTCTCACTTTGACCTTTCTTCATTGTGTAGCAACTTAGAAAAAGTCTAAACATAGAAGACAGAGAGTTCCTAATCTTCTATATTATTACTGGGCTTCACAAATAACCTCAGGGTGGTTATCTTCCTTTTTACACCAAGGCAAACCACCCATAGATACCTGGTGCTGTGACCCTCTTTCGCCTCTTTGTCTTTTATCTATTGATCTGGATGACCTTCCTCTTGGTGTCAGAAATAATTTTATTTTGATGTCTACACTTAAGGTTTGGCACAATATTGCTGCCCACGTTGGAAGAAGAGGTTTTTCTAGTGCACTACAGCCTCTGATTAGTAATAAAGCTGAAACACTTCTTCGGGTTTCTGCAAGTAAGACGTTTTGTAAAGTCCCTTAAATTTCCAGCCAGTCAACCTGTTTTGAATCCTGTTGAAAGCTTTCTCCTTAAATTTAATGAGGAAATAATCACAAAAAAGAAATGTACCTCTTTTTGTTATAGGGAAATTATTGTCTCCGAATTTTGTAACCACCGATAAGGCCAGGGTTTGATGGGAAACCAACATTGAAATTGAGCTTAGTACAGAAGCATGGTCTAAAATTTTAGATCTGCCAAGAAAATGTTTTCCTGTAACCAACTGCAGGAACGCCATTCCAGAATCGTACATAGACTGCAGCGTACCCCAGAGCTTTTAAATAAAATTCATCATTTGTATTGGGCTGTGCTGATTTGTTGCTGTTTGTATTGTTTCCAAAAATCAATAAATCGTTGTTAAAAAACGAAGACAGAGAGAAGCCTGATTATGAAACACTAAATGATGATATGTAGATCTGCAGGACTCCTCACTCGCCTGTCTATGTGTGTGTCCACTACTGACTTTATCTAATTATTGAAGGCCTCGGTCACACAGGCCTAGAGTCAGTGAACCCTCTGGAACTTCTGGTTGTTATGGAAAATGACATATTTGTTGACCAGTTACTAAGCGGTTGCTGGAAGTTTCTGTCTGTTGTCACATTGCATCAGTTACAAAGAAGCTGCTGCATGAAAAACCTCAAACTGCAACTTTTACTTTCACACCTTTCACAGTTTCACTTCACAACAGAACAAAATAGAGATTTTAGAAGCATTTCACAGAACTTTTAATGGCACACTGTGAAAGAAAGTAGCAAATATGAGGGATATTAGAATATTCTTTACAAACACGTAACTTTAATTTGCATTACAGATTTCCTGATACTAAGAAGGTAAACTACAAGGTCATGGTAGAGGTCAAAAGATCAAGTACCATAATATCACGACTTTTGAAATTTGGCAGTTACGTTTTCCTACTTCTTCTTTGGCTCTCGGAGGAGGCGGAGGCACTTTTTCTCCTCTCCCTTATCTTCCCTGCTTATGTCCTTGTCTCGTGTTTTTTTTTTGTATTTTCCCTGGAACACTCTCTCAGAGTCTGTTCTCTAAAACGTAAAAGAGGAATTGTGGATTTGATCAACTGGTCCCTAAATGCAATTGACACCCCTTTCTCAACGAGAAGTCTGGGCTTGGGTGAGCCTGAGTGCTGAAGATATCTACCTATTCGGAACCATGGTAACAGGGTTCTGGCTGATCGGAGCTGGCTTGGCCCTGGCTTATCGGAGAATGAAGAAAGCGGAACCGGCTGTTCAAACCCCCACAAGGCTGCCCGCTGGGATTGGAACGATGGGACGAGGCGTGAGTTTCTCAAAATGGGCTGATTGAGTGCAGCACGGATAAGATCTTGGAGAGGCTACGGCTGCTGTGAATACTCAGAATAAGATCTCTGACTGCAGACTGGATACATCTCGGAAGGGCTAGCCCGGAATAACATCTCTGGGCGCAAATCGGATGACATCTTGGGGAGGCACACTGCTGTGAGTTCTCAGAAATTGGCTCCTTGAGCACAAGAAATGACAACATCACAGAACGCAAGTATGGCGAAGCTCGCGGTTCTCCAACGGGAGATTGAGAGACCAGTGTTGGACTGTAGAACTGCTTTGAAATTCATATGAGCTGTTCGCACTAAAGTAGAAATACCATCATTTATGCGGATGCCCCTTTGGCGCCAGCCGCAAGGCCGGAGCTGAACAAAACACCCTGATAACGACTGTGTTGAGTCTGTTCCTTCCTATTCCATGCAAGGCCACCTGGGTTGGCTGGAAGACTGTTTACTTAGCCTGGCAGGGCGAAGGACACCGTCTCAGCTGAACTCTCCCTACCCGGATCCAACACCACCTCCAACGCTTACCTCCCCTCTGATTTGGACTATCGGGTCAGTTGGAGGCGCAGTCGAAGATTGCAGCGGTCCCAGATCAGGTGTACACACTGGAACTCTTTCCCATGCTGCTGTCTGTGTTTATTGTGCTATGGTGTGTTGATATCTGTGCATTCCTGTATTATCCTTCTGTGTTACACATTTCGATGTTTTTTTCCTCGCTACCTAGCCTGACCTGTCTCCCCAATGTGATGTTTGTGTATTGTATGTACGGTCGGCAAGGTCTGTCATCTCGGTTGTGGGCAAAAGACCTGCAACTGACAAATAAAGGCTATCTCATCATCTCTCTCATCTACCTAATACAATTTCAATTCGCACGGACCAATTTCATCCAAAGGTGTGAATGTTTGATTATATCTAAAAATTCAAGGCTCAAAATGGATTTTAGTAACTTCTGGTTTTAGTTAAGCACTTTTGGTTTAAACCTGACCTAAAACCATATCACGAAAACTAGAGCAAACCAACAATTATATACATCAACTTCAGTGAGCACATTTTGGCTGTAGACCGGTGATGGTCGTATTCAGTGGAGTTTGTACTGTTGGTTACTTTATGATAAACACCAGGTGTTGCCATGTTGTGCAGACCATCCAGAAAGTGTCTGTCCCCATTTTTGTAAGTGTAATTCTAGCATTTCTTTCATCTGTTACTTAGAACTGATTAGTACGTATTTCTGTTTGTATGTAGCCGTAGTCTTAGTCTAGCAGTCCACCCTCTGGTTATAGCTCCAACAACAATATGGTGGTGGTGAGGTAACGTTTTTAAATGCTGCTGCAGGAACCAGGCTATTCAGTCTGTTCAGTGTAAAACCTCTCATGGATGCAGTTCATTTGTTATTGAGCAACTTAGCTTAACATGTAGCAAATGAATCCTGTGTTTCTGGTTCTGTAGTCTTCATACATCTACAACATCATGACAGTGTCCTCAGTCCTGAAGCTGCCCTTCAGTGTGTTGTCCTATCCACCTACTTTAGTCCTTCAATCAATACGAGCCAAAGTCCTCTAATTGAAAAAAAGAAACCACTTTTTATTAGGTGTCCATTAAAACAAAAACATGGCTGTGCCATGGGCTCCCCCGTGTCACCTATTGTAGCCAACCTTTACATGGAAGAAATGGAAAGAAAGGCTCTTGGCTCTTTTAAAGGGAGAGTACCCAGCCACTGGTACAGATATGTAGACGACAGCTGAGTCAAAATCAAAACACAAGAAGTGGAATCACTGTGCACATTAACGCCTTGGATAAAAACATCAAGTTCACCAGGGAAGACACAAAAGACGACTGTTTGCCTTTCCTGGACTGCGCTGTGCACATTGAAGAGAATGGCAACCTCAACATCGAAGTTTACCGGAAGCCCACGTACACGGACCAGTACCTCCTCTTTGATTCCCATCACCCTCTGGAACACAAACTTGGAGTAATTAGGACCCTACACCACCGGGCAGAACATGTTCCCTCTAAGCCTGAAGGAAAAAGAAGGAACACACACATGTAAAGGAAGCACTCAAAACATGCAGATATCCTAAATGGGCGTTCTTAAAGTCAGCAAAGATGCACAGAAAAGAAGATCAGACACCAGCGAGGGAGGATAAGAAAGACAGATGCAACAACATTGTCATCCCTATGTAGCCTGTGTATCAGAGAAACTCAGGAGAGTTCTCTTTCATAGCTTTCGTTTTGTGTCTCACTACGGGGAACGCCT